TCAACGTTAAAGCATCTAAAAGCAACCTTGTGTACATGGTAGGAAAACGTGGGATAAGGTCAGAATATCAGAGTGGTGATTGTGATTTTAATCTGGCTAAATCGGGCTGTTTTCGTAGGTCGTGTTCCAGAGGAAGCCGTTCCTGTACATAATAAACTTGATCATGCCCCTGCTGTTTCTGCTGGTCCTGGATCTGGCCTCGTTCTTCATCGGCGAGGCCCGAGGCGAGAAGCTGAACTTCAAAGTGACGGTGCTGCTGTCCATCTTTGTCCTGCTGCTGATCCTTCAGGACATCCTACCCTCCACCGAGGAGAACCTGCCAATGATGGGTGAGCAGTGTTATGGAAAAAGTTATTTAACTCATTCGCTGCCAAAGACGTCTATAGAGGTCTTTTATGTTTTTCAACGAGAGTGGCTAGGGGACGATCTGCTAAAGCTTGTCCGTAAATATCGGCTTCTAGACAGAGTATGTAGTAACAAATTGACCCTCTAGGGGGCAGTGCCACTTTTGATGGGAGATGAGCATAGACTGTAGGCAAATAAGAAAAAGCTAACGGTTCTATGAGAGAACATGTCGCCAGTGAGACGCAAGTCCAGGAAGAACGGAATAAGGTAAAAACAATTTTTTTTTCCTGATGAAAGAAGAGAGTCTACTCTTTCTTTTGGCGTGTTCGGTGTTTACATAGTCATAGCACAAACTATTCTGTGGCTCTTGAAAAATCAGTCAAAATGCTCAAAAAACTCTGGCAGTGAGCGACTCTCTGTTCTGAAAATGGCTGGCAGTCAATGAGTTAAAAGAGTGAGGTAAAGTTTCCTAATAATTAGAGAAGATCGATCTTGTCCAATAAAGAGATTTATTCGAAGGCAACAGCGTTCGAAGACACAGATCACAGAGTAAAACCCAAGTGAGTGCGGGCCGATGAAAAGGCATGTCCCCTTATATAACATAATATGGATAAAAGAATGGAACAAGGCCACTGTGTTTCTTATCAGCAACAAACAAAGAGACTCTGATTTACATTCAGTTCTCAGGAAGTCCCATGGAGAATCTCCAAAAGGAAAAAATCTATGCTTATTATCAGGAGACATATAGGGTCCCCATGTGGATTGGTCAAAAAGAGAATCTTCTCAGGTGTGAGGAAAACACAAAAGGCGAGTCGTACAATTTCAATGATAAACACAGGAATGGGAGATTCATCTTTGATGTACGGAGCCCCCTAGGGGACATGGGGAATTTTTTTTCTTTTGCGTTCCCTCGCAA